TCTGCTCCTATGATGCTGCTTGGCCTGCTGTGTTCATCCAGCCCTGCACCTTGTTGTCTTTGACACAAATTGTATCTATTTTAATGCAAGAGCTTGACTGGTGAGGCAGATGAACTTACAGCATTGATCAGCACATGGGAATATGATACAGTTGCATGCACTGAGATATGGCTGGGAAAAGGGCAAGACTTTTTTTTTTCCCCTATTCATTTGTGGGATGTGGGCGTCACTGGCTGGTCAGCATTTATTGCCCATCCCTAGTTGCCCTTGAGAAGGTGGTGGTGAGCTGCCTTCTCGAACCACTGCAGTCCTCCTGCTGTGGGTTGACCCACAGTGCTATTAAGGGAGGGGATTCCAGGATTTTGACCCAGCAACAGTGAAGGAACGGCGGTATATTTCCAAGCCAGGATGGTGAATGACTTAAAGGGGAACTTGGAGGTGATGTTGTTCCCATATGTCGGATGCCCTTGTCCTTTGAAATGGAAGTGTGCATGCTGAGGATCTTTGGTGAATTTCTGCATTGCATCTTGTAGATAGTACACACTGCTGCTACTGAGTGCTGGTGGTGGAGGGAGTGGATGCTTGTGGAGCTCAGTGACAGCTCAATGGTCCAAGGCATAGAATTCTCAGGCAGTATAGGAGCAGAAGTAACAGAGGTGAGGGTATTACATTATTGATAAAGGAAACCATCACTGCTGTAATGAAGGAGGACATCGTAGAAGGGTCTTTGAATGAGGCCATCTAGGTAGAGCTTTGAAATAAAAAAAAGGGGCAATTACTTTGCTGAGGTTATACTACAGACCACCCAACAGTCAGATGAAGATAGAGAAGCAGATATGTAAGCAAATCACAGAAAGAGATGAGAGAAACAGGATTATCATTGCATGGGACTTCAACTTTCCTGGACCGCCTTTGTGTGAAAAGATCAGAAGGGATGGAGTTTGGAGTTGTTGGTTGGTTTGCCGAGTTGACTGGTTTTCATGCAAACGTTTCGTCTCCCTTCTGGATGACATCATCAGCACTGTGTAGCCTCCAGTGAAGCGCGGTTGTTCTGTCCCACTCTGAATTTATATGATCCGGTCTGTCATGGTGTGCAGTCTTGTTTCCGGTTTTGTACCGCAGTGGTATGTCGATGGGGTCTATTCCAACATGCTTGTTTATTACATCAGTGGTTGAAAACCAGGCCTCCAGGAATTCTCGAGCTCATCTTTGTTTTGCATTTCATAGTACTGAAACTT